AACCCTGCCATGACACAGCATTCAGCACTGGGAGGCTTATTTTAGTTTCTTAGTTAAGGAGCATTAGGATAGTGGAAAGAGAGTTAGGATATGGAAAAGCTGAGAGTATCTGAAATGGATGCAAGAAAGAAAATGAGTGTCTCACGAATTCACAGAGGAGAAACAAGAGCACATCATTCCTACACTTTGTTCTTCCTTGGTAAAAGGGAGAGCACAAAGCTATCCCTTCCCACACAGCTCACAGCAGCCAACTACCACAGGAATTATTTTGCCACCTGAAACTGCCCACTTATGATGAAATAGTCAGAAAAGTCAACATGGTGCCTAATAACAGAAAACAGGATATTTCAGAAAGCGCAAGTAGAGGAAGCTATCAACAGAAATTAGACCCAGTCAGGCAAGATCTACATGTGCATTAAGTATTTCCTTCACAACCTGAAAACAAACAACAACAAAAAAAATGCCAATATTCATGCCAATACGTAACTTCAGAATAGAATTTGTCTTGTTGAGCTATCTTGAAAAGAGAGTTTGAATCGTTTGCATGCTGCTGCTTGTCCCTGTGGTATGATACATACACATGATCATCTTGCACGATAAAAAGCTGAGGAGCGTAATGAGGCTGAGGATCCATAAGAAGGTCATCAGTTATTCCAGAAACACTGTGGAGTGCCATTTAATGGAGTATTTAATCCATTTAATGTACGCATAGAGATAGCCATGCATAAGRCTGCTGTGCTTACTGCCAAAAACATGCAGGAGAACTGTTGTGCTCACCTCTCCATTTCTGCAGGGGTGATTGCATCCAGAAAGCTGCCCATAACGGGAGTCCTTTTGCCCTCTACCTACCAGGACGCTCAGGAGAGCAGCAGGACTCTCTTTCTGTCGTGTCCCAGGCAGGGACACAGGATTGCTGCGTTATGCTCAGGCYGCTTGTGACCTCTGAGCAATCTCCAGAAGCTTTCGGCCTGTGCAACCAGGGACTGTCTGATCCTCTCCTGCTTGATACGGATGTTGTGCTTCTTTCAGGTGGCCCTGCACACACATCCATGAAGCACCACAAAATGACAATTGGAAAGAACAGGCACTTACTTTCGCAGTGTTAAAATCCAACTTTTAACCCAGAGGTCTTATGTGAAAGTATCTGCTTCAAGTTCAGCCATGAAGCGCTAAATTAAAAGAGAACATCTCGTAATTGTTGCCCTAATGGAAGAGCAAAACATTCCTCTCTGCCCACAATTGAGCTAATGAACAACTGCGACATCTTTTTCTTAGCTTTGCATTTCTTACACTAGTTTTGAATCTAGTACTAAAACTTCCTGCTCTTTAAACAATCACATATATTCAGGAGTGGCATATTTCATCCTAGGGAAACCTTTTATGATAAATTAAATCTGATTCATTGAAGGTGAATCACTGTGAACCCTGCAGATTATTTTAGATAGCCCTATACTGAGTGCAATAATAGAGTAGAATAATAGAGTGAAGAGGCCTCCAGGGAATGGAAAATTCAGCATCTCAGCGACTTCCTCAAAATACCTTCCTGCCTCCTCGAGATCAGTTCTACACAGCGTGCTCCACACATAAACAGCTGTTCTTCTTTCAGTTGATCTTGTACAAATAATGCAAGAGATTAACTTTTTAGAGAACAGTCAATCAGTTGGTCAACTAGTTATGTATAAACATGCATATTACTTTATTAGTAGTTACTTAGTATTGCTAATATTACTTAATCTCACAACTTTACAGAGCACTATGCAGACTTTTTTCAAAATGGTGTTCCCTGTCCTGAAAGATTTAATATTCATGTTACTCAAAGACAAGCAAAGGAATGGGAAGGAAGGAAACAATATTAACCAAATATAAGTCTTTATGCAGTTATAAGTAAAAGTTAAAGATCCGCTTTTTAAGAACAGAAATAACGGGTTTGGATGCCTGCAATCGGGTTCAAATAAAGAAACAGTTTCCTTACAAGAAAATAAACAACTGTTTCTGCAAGAGAAACATAATTCGAGGATTGAGAAAAGACTCCAGCGCAAGGAAGAAAGAAAAGCACCCTGCAAGGAGGAAGGGAGCAGAACACTCACATTACCAGATCCTGTGTTCTGGATTGASTGCTGTTCACGTAATTCAACAACACTGCATGTGGCTCAAGGATATCCAGCAACCAAGAGAACAAATCATTTTCTTAGTGTTTTTTTTAAGCTTTGTGAAAAGAATAAGCCAGTAGTCATAAAAAGGACAAAGTAAAAGCAACCAAAGAAAAGAAAAACAAAATACCCACAGGCCCTAAAAGTTAGGGCATATGGGAGATTATTATTGAGTTGACTCTGACCATGTGTTAAACGTAACATAAATACCAGCACACGGCTACACGCAGCAATTTTATTATAATAGGGTTTTATTATATAATTTTATTATATAATCTTATTATTATATTTATTTTCATTAAGTTTTATTTTACTCAATATTAATTTTAATATTAATTTTATTATATTATTAAGTTTAATATTTTATTAATTTTTATTAATATTTATTATATTTACTTTTATAATCATATAATTTTATTATAATAGCACAAAAATAAACTGCTCCATGGAGAGCTGGGGACCTGTAAATGGGAAACCTGGCCCACTGGAGCTGCCACTACACCTGCTGAAAGGCTTCCTTGGAAAATGCCCTTCAAAACATTCATCATCACTGATCAAGTGACAGTGTTATCATTGCCTGGGGGGATTTTACTTGTGGGGGGAAGGCTGATGAAGGATTTCACTTTTTGCTATATAGTTTAAAGAAGTGGAAAGGCATACAGACCAGAAAAAAAAAAAAAAAAAAAAAAAAAAAAAAAAGAGGAAATGTAGACTGAACAGCTAAATTTCAGAGCCTTCAGCACAAATTGCTGAGAGATCATGAGAACACTGAAAGCCACCTAATAAGCACAGAAGAACAACTGGCTTTTGTGGAACTTCTGCAAAGACAGCAGGAAATTAGAGAGCTCACTGAAAGTTAATGCTGAAAAAGCAGTTATKAAAAGAAAGGATAACAGGTGAGGCAGCGTTGAGGCGGGGAAATGAATGCGGAAAGGGTGAGGGAAAGAGCAAATAGTGTTTAGGAGACCTTTGCGTTTGGAGGTGTGGGAGCAAAGTGCACGGCGACACAGCAGGGCCAGGCTCCTGCAGAAGGAGCCCGGCAGAAGGGCTCCCAACTGCTGCGGCACCGCTGGCCTGGCTGCAATTCGCACCTCCTCCCGACTTCCATCCCACACGGCGCTTCCAGGTAAACGCAGTGGCCTTCAGACAATTAGCCTGGGAATTTTCACCTTTGAACACCTGGGCACTGCCACGGGCCYGTCGGAAATGGAGGAATGGAAACAAAGGCGCCACAGGAGCTGCTTGCCGTGTCAGGCAAACTCGTACCCTGACCCACGGTGAACACAGGGAGCCCTTCTAGAGAGCGGACTTGCCCAGTTCGTGGGAGAGCCCCAACAGGTCTCGCTGGCCCTGATGGCCCCAGTGCTGGAGMTGCCCTCAGGACCCACCAGCAGCACCCGGTCACCCTGGGGAGCCCCTGGCTCCGGTGGYGCCCCAACAACTTGCATCCTGGATCCGGGATTATTTTTGCGTGCAGTGAAATGGGGAACACCTGTCCCCACTACCTGCGAGCTCTTCGTGGGCTAAAGCAAGGTGTACAACCTAATCCGATGGCTTCAACGGGTGTAGGAGCGCTGGGAAATCTCCTGTTTCGCCTTGTGCGGCTGAAGCAGAGCAAGCACAACAGAGTCACAGAACGGTTGAGGTTGGAAAGGACCTCTAGAGATCACCCAGTCCAAGCCCCTGGTCCAGCACGGACACCCAGAGCACAGGGCGGCATCCAGCGGGGTTTGGAGACCTCCAGAGAAGGAGACTCCACAGCCCCTCTGGGCAGCCTGCGCCCGGGCTCTGTCACCCAACCCGGCCACCAAAACCCCGGCGCGGGGCGCACCCCCAAACGGCAGCGAGCGCCTCAGGTGCCCGGCGGCCCCACACGCCCGGCGGCGACAGGCGGCCGTGGGGCGGGCGCCGAGCGGGCTCCGCCTCGCGCCGCCGTGCGGAGCGGGGCGGGGCGGGACGGGAAGGGACGGGAAGGGGCGGGAGCGCCGGGCCCCGCGGCCGCTCTGCTCGGCCAGGGCCGCTCTGCTCGGCCAGGGCCGCCCTGGGGCTGCCGCCGGAGCCGCCGCCGCGGAGCGGAGCCGCCGCCAGGTAGGGCCGGGCCGCCCCGCTGTGCCGGGCGGCCCCGGAGCGGAGCGGCGGGTGCCGGCGCGGGCGGCCGCGCGGCCGTTTCCTGGAAGAGAAACCGTTTCCGGCCGCATCCCGCTTGCTCCGCGGGGATCCGGGTGCCTCGCGGCGCTGCGGAGCCGCCCGGGCTCGGGCGCGCCGGGATCGGCAGCCAGGGCAGCCCCGCGCCCCATAGCTCGTGGCCTGGCTGGTTCCCGAAAAATACTCCAATAATCCAATAAAATATAAGTATATATATATATATATTCGATAAATATGCCATCTGCTTGTTCCAGGAACGGGGGTGTGTTTTCTGCTTTACCGACACGGAGCTTTTCTGAAAAGCAAAGCTCTTGAGCTTACAGAGCCGGCTTCCATTCGAAGCGAGTACAGAGCATCCCAGAGCTCTGTGCCTCGAACAGAGGAAGGAGGCAGCACCCCCCAAAACATTTCATATCAAACGCAAATGAGCCTTTACAGGAGTTTCTAGAGGTTTTTCTCCAACCTGCTTCCAGAGCTGCTCTCCCAAATTCACCTGCAGAGCCGGAGAGCCGGGAAGCGTGCAGGCAGCACCCTGTGGCAGCAGGGAATGCAGCTATTCCATAGGCAGGCGCTGGGCAGCACGTGCGCTCCGTGTATGTAAGGAGTATATCCAAGTATCCCAAACAGCTGCATTGAAAGCCTTTGAAAGCCAGACCCRCTGTTTTCCCCCATGGCTTCTCTCCAGGTGCTGCGCCAAGGAGGAGCAACAGAGGAGCTCGTGAGGATTCCGACCATCATGGCTTTCTCCTGGAATTTCGCTGGCGCTTCCTCAGAAGATATGGGTTTAGACGGCTCTCCAGACTTGAGGAGAAACCTGTTTTGTCACGTTTTTCTTGCGTATTCCAAGGACCATGTCCTGGTGTAACTGTGAAAATGGATCATTTCGAAGTACCTGGCGTGTTTGGTATGTGGAGYCGTGCACAAAATGCTTCCGATTCTACAGGATAGAGTTAAGATGAACAAACAAGCTTATTTATAGCACTCTGTGCAGGGTGCTTTGAACATAGCTTGTGATTAATTGCAAGATTTAAGACACAAATTAAATATTTTATAAAGTGGATCGAGGAACCTCAAGCTTTTCCCCATGGAGAGATGGTTTTGAGTAGCCTGGAGGATCAGATCCTACAAGTACAACTGCTTTTGAAAATGACTTTGAAAATAATAGCGTAAGGCTTTAGTTTTCTATGTGACTTCAAAACAAAACTTGCTGCAAGTAGGAAGTATTTTGGTGTTTTTTGCTTGCTTGTTTTTACTGTTTAGTCTGTATGCTTGATCTAAATGAGAAAGTCTTTTTCTTTTTTTTTTTTCTTTTTTTCTTTCTTATTATAAGTACTGGAATTAAATGGGCTTTAAAATTGGTGCCTTAATCAGTTTCCAGCTTGATGGCATTGAAAAACTTCAAGATTTAGTAATTGGTGGATATTATCTCCACATTCATAAGCTGTTAGTTTGGGGTGGGAAGGGGAAAATAAGCATTTTAGTTTATTTTTAAGTGTGAGTAATATTTAGGAAACTTAAACTGAAATTGGGGGAGGGAGACTTTCTTGTCACCTGCAGAGTAGGTTGTTATTATGCAAGGATGTCTAYCAGTTGCACAGATTCAGGTCCTCAACATTACACAGTGACTTTCTGTAGTTATTTTTAAACTCTGAGCAGAGGAAGATTTACATTTAGAATAAAGGCTTTGCTTTAAATGAGCTTATTGTAATGTTTGGTATGAAGTTTGACCATAGTAGCCTTTGTTTGACAGTTGTACCTTCCTCTTCTGCTTATAATTCAAGCCCAGATCCTGCATATATTAGTATTATGAGGATAGTAGGTGAGGTAGAATAACAACATTTGGAGAGGGAATATTTTAATAGACTTTTGCTCAATCTGATTTTTATTTAATGTATTTGCAGGTATAGAAGCAAAATGTGTATTTCATAACCAGTAGGTCGTATTTCTTAACCACAATGGCAACGCTGATGGGTGAACCACTGCATTTTTATCCACTTGGTAAGTCACAAGTAACTTTATGCTGTAAGAGAAGCTGTATTGTTTATTTTTCACTAACAACCCTCTGAGTTACAGACCTAAGATAGCAGCATGCTGTTATGTCACTGTCCCTGGAATGAATCACAGAATCCAGATCCCACTGGGTTATATTCTACAGACTTGGTTCTGTAGTGAAACCATTATTTTCTCCTCGGGATAAATAAATAAATAAATAAGCTTTAAAACAACTTTCTGCCTCCCTAAATTTCTAGTGAACTTTCAGTTGCATATGTCACTCCTCATTTCCTTTTTATTTATTTATGTTTTAACCAAAGCTCTTTAGTGTCTGGATTAGTGAGTGGGCACAACAAACATAGTTTGTTGTTTCAGCTGTAGACTTAGTGGGAAACTGTCTTGATAAAAGTCTTTTAATTCTGTAAAAAGGACAAAAGGTTTCTCTGTTTAGTTTACAGTTATGTAGGGGTTTTTTTTGCTCCATTCCATTGTTTCCCACAGTTATTTGTTCTATGATAATTCTTCTTTCTGTTTATGTTCCTTATGTAAGAGTCTGACTGTATCCATTTTTACAATTCCAGCTTTTTTTTTTGTTTAGCCTTATTTGTTGAAGCAAAGTTACTGCMGTATTTCAAGCTATACATGATCCAAGCTTGATGTTGATAGGGGAGAAGTATTTAAAGCTCACAAAGGAGGAGAGAAAAGCTCTTGTGAACCGAAATTCCTTCAGCATGACAGCTGAGAGCTGGCACGGCGGCTGGTTAAAAGAGAGCAGCAAAAAAATGTTCCTTCTAAACCAAAGAGTTGGCCCAAAAGAGATGTCTCATTAGTAGGTAGATATGGGGAGCTCTAGATGTGGGCATCGGAGAGAAGGTTGAGCTCAAGAGGACAGTCAGACSGTGCCCTGTGACACTAGGGGTGTACGCGTGGTGCAGTGTCCTTGTTGTCCTCGTTTTGTTTCRGTTTTGCTTTTGTTTTCTTTCTTTTACAGAGAGAATAGAATGTGAGAAAGAGTTGGAAGGGCGTACAGACACAGGACATGATCTTTACACTGGAAAGGAGAGGTTAGAGTTAGGAGTTAGCTGACTGAAAAAGAGTGAACTCTGAAATTTTTACGCTACTGCCTTGAAGGCTTCCCACATTTAGTGCAGAAGGACATCTGTGAAGATGACTGTCATGTTCTTCAAACTGTAGTWTCTGTCTTTTCCTAGTCCAGATTCAAAATTCTTGTCCTGACTTAATATGCAGTTTAATAAACAGCATGAGCTACCWGGCTTGCAGGAAGAACTCTTTTTAAGGCAATATTTGATAAGTACTTTCTAAGTAAGTTTGTTCAAACTGAGACCTCAGCCCTTTCTACCAGGGATCAGCGTGAGCCTTTAAAAACAGTGCATTTATTGACAAACTTGCTGCTTGGAGTCTTGATCTAATGGCTGGTTGGAAAGGGACATTAACACTCTGAGAAAGTCGAAGAAAGAGCAGAGGAAAGGAGGAGGAGGAGGAAGATGTTAGAGACAACCTGCCCACAAAGGAAGTTAAGGGACTACAAAATGTTAGAGAGAATGTTGGGTTTTATTTGTTGCAAATTAGTATTGCTAGTAGTAGATTACTCATGAATCAAATATTGTAGGCATACAAATGCACTAATATATGGTTTTATTTTTCAGTGTATGTGAGCATTCTGTCTGCAGCTTGTTACAGCTTGTCTGGTAAGAGCTCTTACKGTGTTTCAAGTTTATTTCCTAGCACTTCACAAAGCACTTGCATGTTCCCACTGAGTATCACTTTGCAACTTTATTTCTTTTGAAGAAAAAACTTCATACAAATAAGGCAAAGCAGGAAGTTCTTTGCATTGATAGCTGTTGTGCAGAACTCAATGCTTTTCCATAGTTAGTTTATTTGGAGTTTGATGTTGAGCTGCTTTAAGGGTATAAAGGTTTATTGATCAGAACTCATGCAATCTTGCATTTGTTTGCCCTTCCTCTTCATATCATATGTTTACTCTTTTTTTCTTTTTTTTTCTTTATAGCAGCATTTGTGAGAGGGCCACCATTCAACCTACAGATGAAATCTCATAATTTTCAACATATTTTGTCCTGGCAGGCAGAAAGTGATCCAACTGTGCCAACACACTATCGTGTGTTGTATACTGACCGCAAGTATGTCTGATTTCATATAGGGTTATGCAGTTTTACTTTTGTCTGCTCCAAATGCTCAGTCTGTGTCTCTTTTGTTGGTCTGTTTCTCTCCACTCATGGGCTCTCCTGTAGTTGGCCATTTATTAGATAAAAAGGATAGAATTGGATTTTACTGTATAATTAGCTGTGTCTTGCTTAAGCTCCCTATGTGTTCATGTTGTGAGCAAATTGTATCATGGAGAAGAAGCAATTTCCTTAAAAAAAAAAATCCAGAAATGCTTGCAGTCAATTTTATTAATAACTTTTTTGCACTCCATTATCACTGGAGGTGTAGAGTGGACTAGGTCTAGTGGAGGAGCCTTAATGCCCCTGAAGACACCTCTGCTCAGCCAAGTTGTCTTTTTGGAAACAGGGTTTTGCCAAGATACACAGCTGTAGATGTGGCTAGTGGGTAGTTTGTAGTTAGAGGTTTGTTCAAAGTAGCTCTCTTGTTTGGAGYGCTGACGCACGGTGACGTGTGGCTTGGCTTTTGGTGCTGGCCTCCTGGAGACCTGCAAGGTAACCAGGACTGCTCCGTGTAGGAGTAAAGGCTGCTGAGGTCAGTCCTGGTGGTTGCCCTCGTCCCATCCTCACGTGGAGAGATGGGAGCTTGGTGAGCCAGTTTATCCCTGCGCAACAGCCGTTTCTGGGGCATGCCCTGGTCTTGTCTTTGAAGGATATGGTGTCCACACACTTGTGGCTTTAGGGCACGTGAAGATTCAGGAATGTAGGCTGACCATTTAATACAGAACCAATTTATCTAATTATTATATTAAATTTTAGTGGTGTTTATCTGAAGTCTTTGCAGGCAGTTTCCTTAATGTTGTAGGTCTTCCTTGTGTGTATAGCTCTTCTCTGTCTTTATGACACAAGCAAAAGTTCCACGAGAAAGGCCTGAAAGAGTCAGATTTGAGGTACCTTCAATTGTACTGCAAGTAGAGGAGGGTTGTTTGTGATGATAACAGAATCTAGGAGATCCAATATGTGAAGTGCACAGTGGGAGATACAAGCCCTGACTAAACAGACATGCCATGGAAATAAAGAAAACGAAGGCTGAGTAAAATGCAAGCAAAGTTAGCTTTGTGTGTGCATGGATGTGTAAATGTGGCCGAGCAGATTGGTCTTTTCACCTGTAGGGAGCTTCCCACATTACTAGCTGTGGTGGAGGGACTGTCCTGAGCAGTGGTAGCATCCTTCAGGTTCAGCAGCACAGAACGTGCACAGTGGGAAGCGATGYCATTCCCGTGTTCAGGTCCTCCAGGGACAATGACACCAGTGACTTAGGCTGCTGTAGGGACAGAACACAGCTTGTGGTATTTACACGTTACCCCTGCCCCTTGATCTCCTGAGTTTGGTTTTGCTACCTTTTTAAGGTCTTAGTTGAAATATGTGTTTCTTGCTTTCCTAGAATGAGAGTGCAATCAAAAATAATTCAGATTTTATTAGTTGTTTTTGGTCATACATTAAGCAGTAGCAGTCATCTTCTGATACAACACATCTGACAATTTTTATGTTCTTCAGAAATGCTTTCTTAAAGCAGATGATAGACTAATTTTCATTTTTCTTTTTATTTCAATTTACAGAAATGRCTGGATGACTGCTAAACAGTGTTCAGATATTACACAGTTCTCGTGTAATCTGACAGAGGATTTTAAAGATGTTTTTCCTTACTCTACATTGGTTCAGAGCTTTGTGGAAAAGGAAGTATTCAATTCTTCTGCACTTTATTTTGTACCGTTTACTGACAGTAAGTTTTCTATCTGCATTTGTCRATTTGGATGTGTTTTATTTCTAGTTACACTTAAACGACTCTCTACTAACATTACMGTAAAGCATGCCAAGCTGATTTAGTGGCTGGCTATACTCCTGTAGGTGAAAGAATGTGAATTGGTGTGTAATCTAGTGCATAACAACAAAAAATATTAAGATAGTTTTCTGACATGTGTGGCTAAAACATCTCTGATAAACAGACACTATTTCTGGTTTTGAAGTATACATGCATACATCTTCTTTGTGTGYGTGTATATGTATGTGTGGAGSAAATAGTATTGTGTTGAGTATTCACGAGCACAAAGTAAAGAACAGTAAGTGCCTAAGATGCTTAAAGCAGTATTAAATGTATATTTTATAGATAGATATATAAGTAGTTGGTGTTAGGAATTTTTAAAAAGCTAGCCCATACTAGATGTTGGGGCAGAGGTTTATCTCCTTGTTCATTTCCTGAACACTGCTATTTTCTTCTTACTTGCTCCTACAAAKAGACACTTACTAGTAGTGCTATTTTCCAATGCCAGAGGTGGCTTCAACCTGGAGTGGAGTTTCTGGAATTCTGTTTTGAAGTAAGACAGAGATTAAGGAATGCCTGTTTGGAGAGTGGCGAGCTCCATAGTAGTGTGTGATTCTTCCTTCCCCTCCTTCTTCTTTTTAATAGCATTCCTGGGACCCCCTGAAGTTAACATAAGTTCCTGTGTAAACTGCTTAAATATCACTGTAAAGCTGCCGAAATCTCACTTGAGAAAAGATGGAAAGCTGCTGTCTTTAATTGATATATATGAAGAGCTTGATTATGAGATAAGACTGAAAACACCTGAGGGAGAGGTAAAGAACTTCTTGTTTTATTTCTGCATTAGAGAAGAAAGGAAAGTAGAACATATAAACTGCCCCCAATGGTTAGCAGCTTGACAAAGGTAAATATTTGAATAGAAAGTACTTAGAAGAAAACCAAGGGTGAGCCAGCATAATCTGGCAGAAACAAATTTGACTTCCTTCTGCACCAGAGAAGCAGCCTAGAAAAAGAACACGATTTGCCTGCTGTCTTTATGGAAGTCGAGCATGGCACTGGCTAAAGGGACTGGTTTTTGGGAAGACAAGGGAAATAGAGGCCTAACTGAAGCTACTGGTAGCTGTATAAATAGGACATAGGGAAATCACCCTTAGAAAGCAGTTAGTCATCCTCTGTGAATCTGTGTATCCAGTTAAGTTCTGCAACAGCAGAAAAGCAGAGATATACTATAAAAAAAAAAAAAAAAACTGTAGGAAAGGGTTTTTTTTTCACCTTCTTAGTGCTTGTAAAGCCCCCCTGCATCCATCCCAAGGCTCAAAAGAGGCACAGGCCAGCTGAGCAGGATCCTGAAAGGAGTAGTGAGGGCTGTGGAGGCGTCCTGAAGCATGGCCCAGGAGGAAACCCTGCAGGAACAGGGAACTGGTTGATGTGTGGGAGGAAGGCACGTGAGAGGCCCGAGTGTCTCGCTGTGTAAATGTCGACTGCAAAGAAGGGAGAAATAAACCATGCACTCAGAGACAAAGGCCAGCAAACTGAACTTGTAGCAGAGAAGATCCTGCGTACCAAGAGACTACTGGCAAAGCACCGGGATAAACTGTCTGTACTGGAAGTTTTGGACAACAGGTCAGACAGATTAAGAATCCAGCCCATTTTGCTGTGATCTGCAGGATCACAGTTTGCCTGGCATAGAGATCCTTGGTTTCTGAACTGGAATATGCCTGGCAGTTTCGTACATGTAGAATCTATGTGAGACTGCCTCAAGGAGGGTCAGCATCTGGAGGCACGAGGAAACTCTTCTTGAATTACTTTTTGATAATGCTTCACAAATAGATGTAAAGTAGGCAACTGGGTAACAACTTAAACTAGAGCCGGAAACCACTGGCTTCCTGTCAGGTCAGACCTGAAACTGTAAGTTGCATGTGTTAGTAACAACTTGATGCTGCAACATTTTAAAATTTCCTTCTCTCCATTAGTTTTACTTTTTTTTTTTCCCTCTCCCTGACAATACTACATTAGAGCAAGCCTGTCTGTCAGCCTGTGCACTAAGTCTTCTTCAGCAGTACCTAACTGCTAAAATAGGATAGATTTAATAATAGCCTTCTGTAGGATATGAATTATTAACCCAGCCACACTTAKTGAAGCTTGTGACCTGTAATGAAATAAACAGTAATAGAAGCAGCTCCCTTCCAAGGTTTTGAGTCAAGTCCTTAACTGTCTGTGAAGATGGATGTATTTGAAGAGTGTAAGAGAACTCATGTTTTCATGGTACTACAAAACTTTACAGTGTTTCAATAACACAGGTACTGCAGGGGCACCTGGACTCTTGTAGAAAGAGCTGAATTTCTGAAAAGAGCCGATTCAAGGGCTAGGCAGARTTAATGAGAGGCTGTTGGGGCTCCCCCAAGGTGACCCCTTAAAGCAGAGCTTTGAATAATGCAAGCACACCCTGCTTGCTTGGCAGAAAAGAATAGCCCGGGAGTTGAATGGGGATCTCGAGGTGTCTGACCAGGCAGCCAGCAGTGAGACCAGAGTCTAAATTGTGAACAACGGACCCTTAAAAATTGGCATCTAGAAGGGCACTAGTGGAGGGTAACAGTATAGATAGAATTTCTGATCTAGTCATTTTTTTTTTTTTTATAGAACTACTCTTTATAGCTATGCTAGATATTATTATTTATAGTTATTGGCTTGCTGAATCCAGGGCAAATCTGCTGGGAAATCATGTAGACTTTGTTTCTTGGAAACAGAACTGTTTCATTTCAAAGAACTGATGCCCTCAAGTGAAATTTAATTTATTCGTAAAAAGCTTCAGTAACTTACTACTGTATTATTTCACTGAAATTTTCATGTTTTATCAGTGATTGGGGAACTCTCTTAAGCAAAGAGCTGACCTTAAAACACTGTCTTTCACAGCAGAGGCGATCTGAAAAAACGACTAGAGAAATTTTTAATRCAGTGCTGGAAGAGTTGTATCCAAATAGAAATTACTGTGTGTYCATTACTATCTCCGCGTCTCTAAATAAGAATTCCATTGCATCACCCTGGAAATGTGCAACTACAGACTCTATAGCTCAACAAGGTAACTGTTCCGTAACCTAGATGGATCATCTGTGTTTTAGCATAGCAAGATTTACAAGTCAGTTAATTATGACAATAGTAAGAGAGAGCATCTTCCATGATTTAAGCAGTTGAGGGATTTATAAATAGAATATTAAAACCCTTCTATTTGGTGGCTACACATCTATTGTTAATTCTGCTAAGTGTATATTATCTATACCGACTGCATAAATAGTTATCAAGAATGATATAATTTATTTATTCTAGTGCTTGAATCTAACCTTGGATTTGATCTTATTCTGGGTTTGGATTAGGAAAACTCTAGATGTCCCTTCTAATCAAAATAGTTCTGCAGTTCTAAGTAGGTGTTCTGAATGTGTACTTTGGAATATGGTCATTAGAAACTTTTTTTTTTCTCTCTTGCAGATTATCGTGTTGATACAATCATAGGTGCTGTATGTTTTTCGTTGTCAATCATGGTCATCCTGCTCTGTTTGTATGCAGGAGGTTTTATACTTCAACRAAACTCACTTCCCCGTACTTTGGTATGTGTTCATTTTGTACTTAGCCTTCCTGTAGTGGAAAAAGAATTTTACTATTTTGGCTGAGCAAAAATAATTTCTAATAATATGCTGTGTGCAGAAACTGCACAAGCAGAATTTATTAAATGTGGAGTTAGCATCTTCCAGACTTTCAAAGATTGTCCATAGGCYATCGAATCTTGTGTATTACACATTGTAAATATTCAGTCTTTTTCAAAAACCTATTTTGCTACTTCTGGGGCAAGTTAGAATGTGCAAGCTGTAATGACAGGAAGACTCCCCAGCCTGACTTTAAAAGAATTATCTACAGTAGGCAGATGTGGGCTAGTCCTCACAGCAGTGCCCAGCATGCCACAACAGCCCCTTTGAACATTGGCTTATATGCAAGTCCTTGTCGCCGCAGTCAGATGCCTCCCACCATCTGAGGCAGAGCAGCAATTCCAGATGGAAACCGCTCCAGTTGTCAGGTGAGATGTGCAGGGAGGAAACCTAATGCTGACAGAGTGGCTAAGGATGCTCTGAGAACCAGTCGTTCCTTAGCAAAGCAGTTTCGAGGGCATTTTGCCCAACATGGCTTTATTTCACCTTGCAGCATTGTGCACCACTGTAGGAACAAATCCTGTCCCCACTGCAACTGAATGAAACTTTTCACTTATTACACCAAGAATCAGATCGTTCCCTGAAGCTCTGAGGGTCATTCAGCCTGATCCCTAGGTGCTGGAGTTACAGAAAGGCATTTGAGGTTGTGCTACTGAAAGCAAGTGTATTAAATTTGCCTTCAAGGTTTTGTTTGTCTCTTCCCACTCTAAGCCTACTGTCCCTGCAGTGAAGCATCAGTACGGCCTAGAAGTGGGACGTTTGATCTCTCACGCTCATGAATCCCCAAAAGATGGGCCAGGTACTTAGGCAGATCTGCTGAAGCAAAGAGCCAGTGTCAGTGGTCTAAGACCTTCTTTCTAGAGCTATGTTTTTCCTTATTGTCCGCAAAAGGAGACAAGGGGAGCACCCAAAAAGTGCCAAAACGAACACTTCGGCAGCCTGGTAAGAAAGCACCATCTAGATGATGGTTGCAAAGAAGTTCTCGGACTTGGTCTTGCGCGCAGCTGTTCCCATGGACAAGGAGACAAAGGACAGATGATCAAAGGGCCGGGCAGCGATGAGACTGCAGCCGTGAGGAAGCAGTCTCCAAACGCTGTTATTCCTCAGGAAGCCTCTCTGCTCTGCAACATCAACAGTGGCTTTTGAGTCAAAGGAAACAGCTTCTCTAGTAAAAACAGACAGACCGAGCAGTTTAGCTTTAAGTAAGAAACCTTAAGTTTCTCATGCTATAAACTGGGTGCAGTTATCTTGCAGATACTTCCCTGACAGAACAGTATCCTGGCTCTTCCTTTCAAATAGTTATGTGGCAGAGCTGAAGATCACTTCTGTGTGGCCTTATGTCCACCTTCCTTCAGCTCAGCTGTGATTTCTTAGTGTATTTTCTGTGAAGAGGAAGTAGTAAAAAGGATGTTACACAGTGAGAAACTTGATAGGGGAAAAAAAAAAAAAAGAAGAAGAAATTTATTTACAAAGTGTCTCTGTGGGAATGTGGAGCTAATGCAGTTTCTCAGAAGTTACATACTGTGACCAGGCTGTCGTAATCTGCTTGAATACTGGAGCAGAGTGGAAACAAAAGAAACAATCCAGCTTTGAAGGAATGGTTACTCATGAAGAGTCACGTACCTTCCAAGTGCCATACTATTTTTAGTCAGGTAGAGTAATTACCAGAAGTCCATGTTTAAGAAAGGWCAGTTACCTTAATGAAGAAAAGAATATTGAGCAAAAGATAATTTTCCTCCCAGTATTTTAATGAAATCTCGTTCTGTGAGATAGCACCAGATAACAACTTAAAGAAATTAATTGCCACTAAATTCCAAGCAAGAATAAGATGACTGGGGACTCATCTCTCTCTGTTTCCTGGCTTTCTTCTTGATCTAGTGTGTGTGATTTCTATCACATTTCATCTTGGAGAGCATTATTTGCTTGTTTGGTTTTTACATAAGCCTTTACCGTTTTCTGAAAACATAGCTAGAACAAATTGATCTCGACTTTTTTTAAGATTTTTTTTTTATCTTATCTATCTATCCTTTGCTATAGGACTTTGCCTTTCTATCCTTAGGATTGTTCAGTGTGACTCTACCAAGTAGCTTCTGAGATTAATCTTTTATTTTCAGCATTTTTTTCCTCCAATGCTTCAACCTTCAGTAATCTTCAGAATGGCAACCGATAAAACAGGCCATGGCTTCAAATGGTAGCTTTCTACCATTTTCATTAGCTTTTTCATTAAGATTGTTACTAAAGTAAGGTTTCTTTTGTTCAGCATGGTAGTTACACAAGCTAGAAGAGAACTGCAAGATTTGCTTCAGCAAGTATTGGCTCAACAAGCCAATTTATATTTATGAAATGAGCTTTTAATATTAAATATTTCAAGAGTGAGAATTAAAAGACTCTCCCTGAGGTGCATGGTACTGACGRTCATTTCTGTGAGAGTACCTTGGTTTGTAGTGCAGGGTTTCATGTTTACAGGAATGGAGAAGAAGGAATAGCTGTCATGCTTTGAGTTCCGCAGAAAAGGCCAGAAAAATGGTGCAGGTGTTATAGATGAGGCGAGCCAATTTTCTCATCTACATTTTATTRAAGTAAGCTGGATACAAAGGGTGACAGCGCTGGGGTGGCCTGGAGGTAATCATTCTCAGGCCCTACTCAAGTCCCCAAAGTCTCGGTATTTATATTGAGTCCGAGTCCCGCCTTTGGTGTTTTTTCCGAAGGTTCCGTTGAGTCTGCGCTGTGTGTTGTGGATGTTGCTCAGTCGGAATGTGCTTGCGCCGGCTGTTGCTAGGTGGTCGTTTTGGAGGAAGGCAGAGAAGTCTTCCTCAGTGCCCTCTGTTTCCCATTGCCCTCAGTGCCCATTGTATGCAAAATAGTTGGCTATCTCTTGGTCTCGCAAACTTGTTCCTATGCAAGCAAAGCCTATTCATGGTTAACATCTTGTGGATCATTAACAGGATGTGGTTACTTTAACAAAATCCTTCGATAGCCTGAGTGAATAAACGTGTTTATTACACAGGGAGAACCCTTTGTTTGATGACCTCATGCTATGGATACTCTTTTTTAGCTTTGTGTTTGTGTAAATTTTTTTTTTTTTAATTCACTTTTTTTTTCTTTTAGGTATCCATCAAAACATCATCTGACTCACCTTTTACATTTGAATCTGAAAAAATAGACTTTGTAGAGGTCATCTCTAAGGATGTTAGAAAAAAGGCAAAGGAATTTATTGGCTATGACAGTGATGAAGATRACGACGACGACAGTGAGAGTGAAACCAGAAGCAATAATGACTACAGAAGGCGTGATATCTTCCGACCGCCTCGACCCTCGGACACGTCCCACGTGTTTGTGCAGTGCTGCGCAGACAGCACGTGCAGAGACGACGGCAGCCAGGCCAGCCAAAACCCAGACTCGGACCTCGAGGTGTTTGAAGAGAACGAAACAGACACCGAAGAAGAGAAAGGTGCAAGCGGAGAGTTAATTAATTCTTTCTCTGAGGTCAATTGTCCTTCTGATGGGTCAAGGAGCAGTGCTTGCTTTACCATAAACTTAAAAACTGTGCTCCTGGGGCTGTCTGAAGGGAATGCAGACGGCTCTGCCGCTCTCCTCTCTTCCCAAGAAGATAAGGACGACTGGCCAGATGCTGGTGGTTTTGACTCAGAACTTCTTGATGATGCAGAAAGCRTGCAGAAACCACTCTGTCCTGATGTCTCTTGTGAGTGGCCAAGCTCTTCTAGTTCTGATGAAGGTGATTCATCAGACTCGGCTATGGACCCAAAAACTGAATACATAAGAAGACGAGAATACATGAGAAGATGAGAACCATTGTTTTATAACATACAAATGTATATTGTCTGCTCTAGCTGCTTCTGGACAGAACACAGATTTGGTCTTTCTCTCTTTTAACATTCTTGATAGCTGTACACTGAAAACAGGTGAGACTCCCTTGTAACAAGTACTGCGGTGGCAGGTGTACATCTACAGGTGTAGTCGGGCTTGTATTATTATCTACAGTGAAACACCCGTGACTGTTAAGGGACTAAGATGGGGCAGGGATAGAGATCAGCTATTTCATTTTGCAGTTTGATGGTGCCTGGGGGGAGTTCATCGTGTAGGAAGAGGTGAGTGGCTGGTCTCCTAGTCAGAAGCATTTATCAGCATTGGAAAGAACGATAGGGAGCATGGAAGTGGTGGGTTCWTGGAACTATTTCATCGCTCTGTTAGTGCATTGTTTTACCAAGGGGATTGCAGACATCGAGGTAGTCCCCTACTCAGGCTGGCACAGTGACTTCTGCATGAAGGTGTCCGTGCAGGGAAAGCTGAGCAGGGACACTGAAGAGGCTAAAGTAAAACAAAATACTCAGCGGTGTTGTCCTAAATGGGAATCAAGGCCTTATATATACATATCAACTTTATTTTTTAACGTTTTTTATATTCTGTGCAGTTTATTAAGTATGCTACATTTTAATGACATAAAGGCTTTTTTAACAACGGTTTCCTGCAGTGTAAAATCCTTTTGTAAGAGCCAGGCTGCCGTTTTCATACCCCCCTTTACCCGTTTACCCGAAGCACCGCAGCGGCGCCTSGTCCTTTCCCGTTGTGGGCCCTCCACGCCTTCGAAAGGCTCCACGCTGCCCTTCCAGCAGGAGCGCGGCCACGGAAATAAAAACGGGAGGAGACGCAAACCCCAAGGAAAAGCGTTCTTTGTTTGTTTGTTTGTTTGTTTTCCCCAGCGCCGCGGGGCGGGCGCCAGGAGCAGGGGCGGCCCCGGGCCCCAGGGCCGTCTCCGTCCCCGGGGCCGCCGCCTCCGTCCCCGCCTCGCGGGGCGGCCCCGGGGCGGGCGGAAGGGCGGGAAGGGGAGGGAAGGGAAAGACGCGGGGCGGCCCGGCCATGGCGCGGCCGCGGCGGCAGCGCCCGCGCTGAGGGGCCGCCATGGGCGCCGGGCTGCGCGGCGCCCTCTGCGCCTGCCTCCTGCTGGGCGGTGAGTGCCGGGAGCGCCCGGGAGCGGGGAGCCCTCGGGAGCGGGGCAGCGCCCGGGAGCGGGGAGCCCTCGGGAGCGGGGCAGCGCCCGGGAGCGGGGAGCCCTCGGGAGCGGGGAGCCTTCGGGAGCGGGCAGCGCCCGGGAGCGGGGAGGCGGGAAGGGGGCGCCCCAGGGGCGGCCGCGCAGAGCGGCCGGGCCCGCAGGGAGCTGCCGCGGCTCCATCCCGCGCCGCCGCTTCCCGAGGACTTGCTCCCCCAGGGGCGATGCGGGAGCTCCGTCCTTGAACGCCCCGGGCCCGAAACGCGCTTTTTTTCCACATCTCGGTGCCAAGCCGTGCGCTTTTTTAATGGTATTTATCACCAAGCTTGTGTCAGTCCTGCGCCCCGGCCCCTGCAGGACCCTCGGCTCGAGCAGCCAGCCGCCTCGGCTCGGCGGGGCCACGAGCGGCCAAAACGGCGAAAACGGCCAAAACGCCGTTGGGACCGACCGGTTGCGGAGGCTGAGGCCGTGCCAGGGCGTTCGTGATGAAGGGCGATACCGTAAGGAGGATAAGGAGGATCCTTACGGGAAGTGACTGGGGTTAGCTCATCTTCTTTTTTTTTTTTTTTTTTTTTTTTTTTTTCCCTCGTTGCTTAAGCTCAGGTTGAGTGGTAGGTGTTGAGGGCTCAAAAGTTAATTGTAGGGTGGAATCTAGCCCATATTAAATTCCGTTTAAAAAAGAGAAGAAAAGGCTGGGGGAGGTTAGAGGGAGATGCAGGAAGCGAAAGGCGGCGTTTTTGTCTTTTGGCCTCGTGGGAAGTCGCTGGAGGAATAGATACTGAAACGCCTGTGCTTCTTGATTGCTTCCGTAGCCTTTGGAATAGTGCCCAAGCCCCGAAATGCAGGAGTCGTCTCCGTTAACCTGCACAGCGTTTTGCGGTGGGATCCCCCCGTGTTTCCCCAAGGAAACGTAACGTACACGGTGCAATTCAAGAGGTAAGTCTGGAGGAGCTGCACTTTATTTTTTTTTTTCCTTTAGAGTTATGTATTTATTCATAAACTCTCAGAAATGCACATTTACCGCTGCGTGTGTTTGTGGTGCGTTCCCTCCTCTGCAAGGAGATGAGGAGCTGCCTCGTTCTCCCGGCCTTTGGAAGGCTTCCCTTGGGAGGCGGGCAGCGGCGCAGGGGCACGTGCTGCACGCGGGGCTGCCTCGCAGGCGCCGTCGTGCCGGTGGAGCCCGTGCCGGTGCTGACACTGCCGCTCTCTGTGCGGTGTCCTCCGGCTCTGCACCTGAGCACCCCTTCACTTCAGACACATTTCCCGAGGTCTCCTTTTATCAGGCCTCGGCGCTGGTTTGGTTGTGAATCCAAGGTCTCATGCGTTGAATCCAAGGTCTCACAGCCCTGCAGAAAGGCTGAATTCTTTGGGATGATTAAAAGGAGGGTCAGGAAGCAAAGCTGAGGAGATAGCACCCACAGGTAGTGACTGTGGAGGGGATATTTCCAAATGCATTCCAGCTGGGATGCGTGTGAACCACTGCAGTTGAAAGCAGGGTTGCGTTTTTTGGAGTGATGGTGGCACTAACCTACTGAGCAGCGTGTTCCTTGGTAGGCGTTTGGTGCAAGACAAAAAGCAGTGTCTGTCTGGTCACACATGGTTCCTAGGCAGCCTTCAAATGTATAAGGAAAGACTAGGGACAGTTTGGAAAAAAGTTGGAATTAGACAGCAAAGCCAAGCAGAGAAGGGCTCTCTCATATTTATTGCCGTGTCTAATTATCTCCTCTTTTGTAATCGCTGTCAAAAAAAAAAGCATGTATTTTCTGAACCATAATCTTAATGACTAACTTCACAAAATAATATACTTAAAAATAAAATAATATACTTAGGTGTAAAATGCATAATTTGCATATACTATAGAAATATGCATTTGTACTAATAATGTTTCGTATATGTTTGATCTAATCTTTCGTGTTCGTAAGGCCTATCTGATTGTACTAACAAACAGATTTGCCACTTTTCCAGTTAACTGAGAGGAAAGATATTTCAAGTTTTGCAGTTTACSCATCAGATAATTTTTTGTTTCTCCCTCTCCCCACTCTTCCATACAGCATCCTTCTTCCTAAAGCCACATTTGAAAACATGAGCACAAACCTGGGAGTCCCAGAGTGTGATGTCTCTTCTCTGTCTCTGTATGGGGACTATATTTTACGCGTCAGAGCGGAGTCGGAAAATGAGCAGTCAGACTGGGTGACGGTCAGATTTAAGCCGATGGTTGACAGTAAGTATTTCTCTAGTCTTCCATTAAAATAGTGCCTGCTATTAATGCACCTTCGCAATACAGCCCCATACAGGAAGCTGAAACATGCACCAAATTTACAAACAAATTTACTTGCAAATTTGCTTACATTGAGCTACAAAATTTTAGTTGGGATGCTTTTCTTTTCAGGCTGTAGATGTAGCTACTGTACTAATTTTCTTAAATTTAAAGCCACGTCTTTCTGGAAGAAGGCAAGATTGCCTGTGTTGTGAGCTCTTCCTTTTTTAAACACTTCYTAGTGCGGCTCTAGCAAGGCAGAACCTTATTAGAGGCTTAGAGCAACTAAGGCAGAGTTGCTCAGTTGGAATAAGCGGAGACTTTAATGGAGAGTTCATTGCAGATGCAGCTTAGGTGGTAACCCAGCTTCTCATGCAATAATTCAGGTAGTGGCCCCAAAGCACAGGTAAGATGCTCCTTTTCCATAGTATGAAAACCTTATATGCAGTGCAGGGACCTCACTCGGTACGACTGGTAAGACTTGCAGAAACAATTCGGGTGTTTCAGTTTTTCAAAGCAATCCAAATGAAAGAAGCATTGGGAGAGGCTTCACCAGAGGGTTTCCCCAGAAAAGCCTGGTGTTGCAGCAGCTCWGCCCAGGAGGGGAAGTGAGCAGTAGCAGCCTATGCAAATGGGCCTGCTTCCTCTGGGAGGGACAGCAGCTGGCMAAGGAGAAGTGGGTAAACTTCATGTATGTGAAATGTAGTCTGCAAAGATAGCTGTTGACCATAAAAAAATAAATGCCTTTGACCAGTTGTGTAAGGAAAGGGTTTACTTATCCTTTACCGATGAGAGGAAATCCCTTTCTTCCAAGTGCATAAAATATTTTGAAGCTTCAAACAGGAAGTGTTGCATTAAAATCTCAAATTGACAGCTRTATGAGTTTGAGTTCTGTTGTTCTTCTCCACTGTTCTCATATATAGCAGTCATTGGACCACCTGACGTAAAGGTGAAGTCAAAATCCGGGTCTTTGCAAATGGATTTCRTAGGCCCTATTGCTGAAAATGAACCTAACAAGTGGTCTTTACGGCAATATTATGGCTCGTGGAATTACCGAATACTATACTGGAAGAAAGGCAGCAAAAAGGAGGTAACTTCTGCTCACTTGATGCTCTAACTACGCTCACAAGACATGACTTTGGTACATGTGCCCTGCTTGGTAAAATGGGGTGCTGATGAGTCTCTGAAAGCCAACAATAGTAAAATATGTATTGCTATAAATCATAATGAAATAAAGTCATTACAGCTGGTATTCAGAGGAGGATGTCAGGTGGTCGTGTGGTTAATCAGCAGCCTGGATGTAATCTTTCCATAGTCAAAAATCACTGCTGTGCTATAAGAGCTTACTGTCTCTGTTCAGCAGTGCATTTATTTGGCAGAAGTGCACATCTCTGTACTTCACACCCAGATGCAAGGGTAAGCCTGGGGRTTGTCACATTTGCAGTGTCTAAGAGCGTGGCAAAAGGCCAACCTAAATCCCAGCTTCAGATCATTTAGGCATTTGTGCTGCAGCAGCCTTTGTGAAACTCTTGGCTCTGAATACTACCACGATCGGTGCTTAGATTACCTGTGGTGGCCTCCTGCCAGCTTTACACCTGATGGAAGATGAAGAGGTGAAATTTGCTTTCTCCCTTTTCCCCTGGCAGATCTGCTGCTCARCTCAGCAGGCTTCTCCCTGTTGAATGTATGGAGAAAGATCATCAATAATGTATTAATTTTAGGATCATAAGGTCTATTACATGGAGAGAGAGAGAAAAAAAAAAAAGGCATTTCAGCTGTAGATACCAATCACAGTATAATTAGTGCTTTGTACATCAGTAAAATTTTCATACAGCAGGGCTTTAGTGCGTATTATTAATGCATATGTACTCATTACCTTACAAAAGTCYTTGACATTCCACTCCAGTAGATAAAGGGTCTTTATTTCTCACTTAGAAAAAAAAGAAATATTTCAAAAGGGCCAGGAAACAGAACCTCTGCAGGCTGTCTTTTAAAGCAGGTGACTGAGCAAAGCATTGCCACGTGGCTGCTGCAGAGCAGCTTTGCCTCGGAGAAGGAGCCCATGCAAGCACAGGCTGCCCCTCGGCAGCAAACTGTGTTTGCTCCCAGGCTGGATCCTCCCTCCTGCATGCCCTGCCTCAGCTTAAATCCCTTTGCCTGTGGCAGCAGCCTTTCCTCGTCTCCCCTGGCTGGATAGCTGCTCCTGCCTGCAAGCCCGTCTCATTGATGCTGTCTCTGTAGTGCTCTTTGGCCTGGGGCTTCATTAAGGCACCCAGGCGGATACCCCATCCAGTTAGTGGTGTGAAGGCTCTCACGTGGTAGCTGGAGGAGAAATTAATGCATTGTTAGCAATCGTTTTTCATACACAGAGTATTTCGTTCTGCCTTTAAAAGCCTTACSCGGCTGTAGCTGCTGAGGTTGGTACTGCTGGATGGAATATTAATTATTGAGCTGGTCAATTCTCTGGACTCAGGATTTTCAGGTTCTTTGTGTGTCCTTCCACGTTGCCAGGTAATTCACCTAGATACTAAGCATAACTCTGAAATGTTATCTCACCTGGAGCCATGGACGGAATATTGCATCCAAGTGCAAGCAGTTATTCCCGARTGGAACAAGACTGGGGAGCTGAGCCAAGAGCTTTGTGACCAGACAACCCACAACGGCAAGTAATGCGGGAGCAGTGCTGCAAGCTCTGCAGGGAAGGAGGAAGCAGGGATTTCAAAGGAATGGCAGTGTGATGTGCAAACCTGCAGCGGAAAGTTGCATTTCTCACTGTGCTGTTGCTTGGTGAGCTGTGCACGCACAGATCATCATGCACAGACCCTTAAACAGGGGAGTTTTTGGAAGCTGAGTGAAAGCTACAGGCAGTGCAGCACCTGTTGCATGATAGTCTGTTCATGGCAGAAGCCTCTGAATTCTTCTTATTCTCTAAGCAGGAGTTACACAGAGCCTAGGCTTTCTGCTGATTCYTCTCTCCAGGTCTGAATTTCCTTTCCCATAAGCTGGATCCACTGTCACAGCCTTTGTGCCATCCGTTTATCACCGAGAGGAGTTGGGCCCTGTGTTGCCACCTGCTTCATTTTGGGGGATGCTGCCRTCGTGTCTCCTGGGGCTGTGGGATACAGCAATAGCCAGGACCATGGCCAGACCCTGTCATCTTAGCAGGGAGCTTTATATCCCTGTTGAAGAGAAAGGATGAAGCCCTGGCTGCTTTTTCACGTGCATTGTAGCTTGTACCCTCAGACTACTTGTGTCGCTGCCTTGGAGTTCATACAAGTTATCATGGARGGGAAGGCATCACTGGGGAGCCTGCGGAAGATGGAGGGCTAAACTTTTCCATGGATATTTTTCCCCGTGCACTGTTCCTACACATATATTATCTGCAGCTAGAGCAATTGAATTGCAGGGAGAGTTGGTGGTGCTGTTTCTTGTCAATTTGTGTCTAGGCCACTGCTTAGCAACTCTGAGCCATTTAATACATTTATACAGTGAAGTATATACAGATGTATTGGTACATCCGTATTCTCATTACCTATTGAGAAATCCTCATGCATGACAAGAATTTTTAAAAGGCTCAGGAGTTTAGGAGTTCCCACATTTTTGTTCTCTGCTGTCTTCGCTTTCTTGCCATTTTTTGCGTTTTTATTTTTGCTTTTTTTTTTTTTTTAAAGAGAAAAAGGAAGCCTATACTGCCAGTAGTGCTAGCTCTTAGTTTCTTTAATCATATGTCTCATATTGCAAGTAGAGTCACTGGTTACTGTATGTGTTACTGCAGATGTCTGAACACGATGGTTACCAGGGTAGGGACAGCACAAAAGGCAACGGGCACAGGCTGAAACTTGTGAAATTCCACTTTCAATACCAAAAAACCTTTTTTTTYCCCCTTTCTTTCTACTGTGAGAGTGGCCAAGCCCTGGGAGAGGTTGCCCAGAGAGGCCCTGCACTCTCCTTCCTTGCAGGTACTCGGAGCTCAACTGGGCACCGTCCCGGGCAGCCCCTTGTAGGTGACCCTGCTTGAGCAGCAAAGTGGGACCCAGTGATCCCCAGAGGTGCCTGCCAGCCAAACCGAAACAGATAACAGAGACATAGACTCTGTGACTCTGTTGTTTTGTTTTGCTTTGTTTTGTTTTACTGTGTGTATGTGAGAGTTTAGAGACAAAATGACTTCTATTTGCAGTTACATCCTTGTAAGGTTAATAAAGCTTTTTTAGTTCCTTAGGAAGTATGATGTTTTGAAAACAGCATGTTCAGAAAGTAATAAACAGCCGATTTAATATTTTTTTTCTGTTCTTGCAGGTGTAACCCCTACGTGGGTAATTGTCACTGTTCTTTTGGGATCCATGTTGGCTGCTGTAATATTTGTTCCTGTTTGCTTCTTTTTCTTTTTGTTTCTGTATCGACTGACCAAACATGTGTTCTGCCCGTCATATTATTTCCCACAGCACTTGAAAGAGGTTGGTTTGTTTGTGTTCTCCCTAACATAGTTCAAATCAGCTTTTGTGACAGAACTGCCTGCCTCCCAAGGGCTCTCTGTGCCAAAACTTCTACAGCTGCTTTCGTGGCACGTGTATGGAGCACTGCTTGCTACTGATAGGCAAGGCAGAGGAACCATTCTGTTATCTGTTCGTATAGTAAATATTGTGTGATAAAAATTGCTCTTTTGCTGAGCAATTTGGACTAAACAGTCATTCAAGCAAGGAGAAATTATAATCTCGTGAGCTTTGGTGTAAAAGGCTGAGAGAGCAAGGTACTTTTCAGYGTGAGGAGGGTACTGGAATTTAGTTCATTTAATGGCTAATTTCTGGCATTACAAGGTCATAAACTTTGAATGAATGTTACCTCATTTTACATCCATTTCTACATCCAGTTCTGTGGAACTACACAGACAGAAGGGAAGAACTGAAAATCAGACTTCCTTTTTTAAGCATACTGATATACAATAAACTCTAAAACACTCTTTCTGAATTCCTAGGCACAGAGCACTCCGAAATATTATAAAGCTGAATAATTCAAAAATTGGCATAGAGTTTATCCCTGGAACAATTGCATAATTTTCAGTATGAACCTTTTTATGGCTTGGAAATGGGACTTTTTTGGGTTTGTTTGTTTTTTTTTTTCAAAGTGGAGGAAGAGCAGGTGTTAACATGCAGTTCCTCTTTCTAGCTAGCAAACAACTGAGGTCTGTCTCCACTCTGTCCTCTTAGGCTTCACATTGCACACTCCTCCCCTGAAACAAAGTTCTTGAGTTTAGCAGGTGCCCAAATCTTGTGCTTTAAGTTGAGCCCACGCAGCAGTAGTTTGCTGGAGCTGGAGCTCAGCTGTTGAGAAGCCAAAATGGTATGGTTAATACAGGATCAGGTAGAACTTCATCTTACTCCAGGTTTCTCTCAAGAAAACTGCTGCTGGGTGGAATTGGTTAATGAGAACTGGCTATGACTAATAAAGGTCAGTCCTGCTTAACTAAGSTGACACAATCAAAGGCAGTAGTTTCACTACGATTGAGATTGCTGGTTACTGATAGAGCATTTCAAATCACAGTTTAATAGACCAAGTCAAGAAATAACACTATATTTTTTTTAAAATTACAGTGAACAGAACTGTTGGTAGAGCAGWTTACTTTTGTATGTGCAATGTATTAAACCGAAAGGGGCAGGTCATAGGAAGAAAATCCATTTGCCTCGTCCATCATCCGCCAAATGAAACGGACTCCCATGGGAGCTGCCCAAATGAGTGGCTGCGCTGCTCTTGCTGGGCTGAGTGGGTGTGTTGCTCTTGTGTTGGCGTTCAAAGTACGGTCACGACGCCCTGTGAGGGCCATGGAGATTCTTGAGCCTGGTTCTGGCTAGGAGAAAAAGGAGTGGGAGGAAGCGGTGAGATCTCAGTAGCAAAATTAGGACAGCTTTCTCGGCGAATTACATAGCTCTGCACAACTCCCTCTCCTTTACTTGCATTAACTGTCGTGGTTTATGTTGACATTTAAAGCTACTTGATGTCTAAGCTAGCAACTGTTTCTGAGAAGGCAGGAGCAATTCACATCTCTTGGAGCTGCTCTGCAAACCTCTCAGTGGACTCTGCCTTCACCTATAGTCAGTTTACCATTTTTAGTCTTAATTTCCAAGTAAAACCTAAATACTTTGTTTTAAAAAAATAGCATTTATATTCCAAAGAGAATACAGGATACAGTCCCCCAGGATACAGTCTTAGAATATCTACAGATACTCCAGGATAGTGTCTTATGAATACATGGACTTATGAGTTGATTCCAAGCCTTGCATGACATGTTGGAGTGAACAGAAAAAAATTACATTGTCAAAAATTTCCAAGGATTGGGAAAGCCAAACAAGGGGTAGAAAGCATTAGAAAACATATGTCTAAGCAGCTATGGCAGCAGGTAGGACTGGTGCGGCCTAATCCTCATTTCCTCTTTTCTCCACAGTTTCTGAGCAAGCCTGCCAACGGTTCCCAGTTGTTTTCTGCAGTGCCCCAAGAAGAGCATCTTCTCTGTGACACATTGACAGTTGTTTCTGAAGAATCCAAAAGCCAAAGCGAGCGGGTTGCGGATGAGGCCAGCGATACAACGGGGCAGCAGGAGGACTCTGAGCAAGAACCACCTGATTTAAAAGTAGTCCCAGCTTCGGAAGGGGACTAAATGCCCCCCTCGTGCCTCGTTCAGACCAAAGGAAAAGCAAATACGTTTATCTCCTACCTCCTGCATRCCTAACAGTAAAAATTCACACAGAGGAAGGTTTTGTAGCTAAGACTTTTCATAGAATCGTACTTTTTTCTTAACTACAAGAAAGGTCTGTTTCTTTTTTCTAAACGAGGAATTAAATGATRGGTAATTTTCTGCTGCTGCCATTCGTAGTGGCACAGTCTTAAGTTATAGCAATACCTACCACTCCATTTACTTTTTAAATATCATAATATATGACTAGTTAATTTAATTTTGATGCACTATTTATTGCGAAAGCTAATCAAAATGCTCTACTGTATAAGATTTGTAAATGAAGATCATATTTTGCAAGAAAATAGCTTATATTTTTTTAATGTGAAATTGCATGTATTTCTTAAGATGGCTCTATTGGCATAATCTCTCTATTGGATTTTTACGTGGTGCTAAATTCTGAAGTTATTCAGAACAAGTTGCATACCACCWTAATAAAGCAAATACAAATGCTCAGTGTTTTGCATTCAAAGGTGTTTCTGTGCTTCATCACCGAGGATAATAAGCAGTGTGCACTGACAGACAGCCCTCTGCTTGCCAGTGCAGCTCCCAGACCCCAGAGCATCTCTGCTGCTGTTTCCATGACTAATTGAATCTTGCCRAATCCACAGAAATCTGTGGAAACATCGGCAGCTAAAGCAGGAGTTAAAAGGTAGGATCATTGCATTTATCTAGTGATGAAGAGTYTCAGTTCCAGAGAAGTGGGCAACRGCAGCGGTGCCTCATGCTACGTTATGCACACCTGCATAGTGCTGCTTATTCGTATCAGGGTTATGTCAGTAAATGATTAAATTCTGTCACCAGAAGTGACTCGCTACAGGGGAAAATAKGTGTAAAACAACTGCATTACAAAATACATAATCAGAGATTTAAGGGTTTTTTAGTTATAAATAGACATCTTTTTGAGAAGTATTACAGGAAGAAAACATGAGGAAAATAGGCACTGAACTATATGTAATATTCAAAGAAAAATTTAGTACCCCTCTCCCCTGCAAAAATTGACCTCTCAGCATGTTCCCTATCCCTTCTTCCATGTTAGCAGCCTCTTCTCTATACTCTTCTTTTTTTTTTTTTCTTTTTAATTTTGACCAGAGGAGAGACAAAAACCACCTAGCACAGCTACAATGGTCAATGTGGGTGCTTGTTGGCTGGTCAGCTGCCATCAGGTAAAAATGAAGAGGGCCGAGACTTTCCTGTCTCTTTTCTTCATTCTTAATAGAGCTGCTTTTGTCTGCTTGGCCTCTGCTTGGCCTGTAATTTCCGTGGAAGAGCAGGATTTTATTCTCTATCAAACATGGCTGGAACTGGTCAATAAATTCCAAGGTTGTGATAAGACACAGATAAGGCAGTCCCKTGTGTTGTGCCGCTTCCTTACAGGTTCATTAGTAAGCCAAACTGAAAGAGAAGAGAGGAGCGGAGAAGGAAAAGATAAAAATAGGAGTATATTAGTGGTTATTAGGACTGGGGGATACAGTCAGGGGCAAGAGGAATGGATAAATCTCTGGYATTTTAAGACGCTGCCTTCCCCACGTGAAAGTAGGAAGTGGTTCCCCTCGTGTCTTTGCCRACGCTGGTGGTTGCAGTATCACGTGGGTGAAAGGGACAGACTTGCTGAGCGTATTCCTTCCTCTTTCACAGTCCTCAGACACAGGGAAAGAAAGGATTTGTCCTCATAGCTTTGCTTTAGCTTTGCTTTAATGGGGACATACCCTCTCCAAAAAGAGCAGCTACTTGAAGTCAACGTGAGACCATCTTTAACTTACTGGCACCTTCACCATCAAAAAAGAAATTACCTGGTGAACTCCAAAATTGAAATTATGATAGTCCACTGCTAGCATGAACTAGGAATGAAATCTTCTTCTGAACAGGTCACCAGAGTTTCCAAAAAGTCCATAAGCTCACATAATCCTCGCAACTGTTTAGCCATAATCTTGGCGTGCTCCAGCCGCCTGAGCACGATGAACTGACACCACATCTGTCACTACTGCTGTCCTAGCAGAGGACACCGGGGACGTAACTGCGGGCGGTTGTACGCCGTGTAGAACAGAAACGAGGGCTCGGGGCAGAGTAACTTATTGAGTAAGGGCAATTCCTGGCTGCGGGGAGGGCAGCGAGGCGCTCCGTGAGAGGCTGACCGCGTTATCTGGGGCCTGGCGCCCCGGTGCAGTGGGGCGGCTGCTGAGGCCGCTCGCTGGGCCGCTCTGCACGTGCCCCTCGCATGGCACCTTCACCCCCCGTGCAAAGGAAGGGACCCGGAATCAGGATTTGCCCTTGGGCTGGACTGTGATGAACGCTGCGCTGCTGATGGTTAGATCACACGGACGTGTGAGCGTGTATATGTATCATCACACGTCTCCGAAGCGAGGCCGAGGGCGTGCAGGTGCTGCGGGGACGGGGTATGGGAGCCCCCAGGCAAAGAGGCAGCCGTGGTGGGGAAGCAGGGAGGGCTAAGGCCTCACGCTGCTGCATATGGTCCCCGTGGTTCCTGTCAACACGGTCGTTCGATGCAGAGTGAGAAGAATAGGGAGAGCTGTGTATTTTTAATGTCTGTTAAAGGGTGAATTCAGCTTGCTCAGGCACGCAAGCTACTTCTTGGATGACTAGAATGTGGTTTGTGAGTAGAAAGACTAATAGACTGACTTCCAGAGCTCCTGCATGGAGCRATCCCTGGAGATGTTGTTTTGCAGTAAATGTGATGGGTTTTAGTCTCCAGCATGATCCACGATGTCACAGGGAACCCGCCAGGARCAAGCTGTGTTCTACCTGTAGGCACAAGAACATTTTGTAAAATTTCAGATTTACAACACAAAGAGCAAACACAAAGTCCTGCAATGAAGATATGAAGGATTCACAGCAATATGAAATTACAATTATGCGGGGGGGAAAAAAGAAAAAAAAAAAAAAAAGAGCATTGCACTAATGAGTAATCACATTAGCAGAGTGAAAACTCTTACCTACGTTTAGAAACTAAGTTTCAACGAGGATGCCAGGAAATGTGCAGACAGGAGACATTCACGGGAAGCCAATTCCAGCGTGCAAGGAACACTGACTCACAGGAGACCTGCTCTGTTTTATCACGTGGCCAGCGTGAAGTTGTCCCCATCCACACAAGGATATTACCAACACCAGATACACCCACCCACACCAGACCAACAAGCGCAACAGCTAGGAGTGCGTCGCTACCTTCTTCCCTACAAAGGCAGCCCAGCTGTGGCCAGGCTCATGTGCTGACCCTCACCCAGGAAAAACCCTGGCTCGTCTGCTTTTTACCACACTGACTCAGCCAAGCTAGCTTTGTACTCAGGCTCCACTAAGCAGCTCTTCCTGGGGATATCTTGGATATATATATTTTTTTTCTTTTTTTCCCAAGTGTTTTGCCTGCTGAACAACTTCCAGTCAGATGACAGGGCTACGTGACAGGAGGTGATAGGGTCAGAAACTCTCATTCTGGCCTCATGAAGCCAGTCCCTGGGGCTCCCCTGTTTCAGGCCCTGCAGAAGGCACTGCCTGGGATCCTTCTCCTCTCTTCCCTTGCTGACTGTGGAGGAAACCAGGTGATTTGGTGATCTTTGCTCTGCAGCAAAGTTAGTCTGTACTGATACCTCTCGCACCACGTGGGCTCCTTTCTCTGTGAGGAAGTTAGGGCTGTGACTGGCACTGAGGCCAGGCCTGGCCACAGGCAGGTTGTAAGCAGCCCTTTAACAAGAGATWTGGTGAAAGATTTCCCGGGGTTATGTTCCTCATTTTTGTTCTGAAGCAGCTTGGGAAGCATTACCATTACTTAGCAAAATGCAGTTATCCAGGAGTCATCAGTTATTGCAGGAGCGGTTAAAGGGCATCTGGGCAAGGCCATGCTTCGTTCCTTGCTGCTGCACTGCCATGAAAAGAAAAAAAGAAAGTAAAATCAGCTAATTTCATTTGTAAAAAGCACTGTGAATAATCAGAAGGCTCAGCTTACTGTCTGCATGCAATGTACGGGAAGCTGCTCCTACTACAGAGTCCTCTCTTGTTTCTTCCTCACAAATTGGATTTCCTTCAGTAACTCCTGCCTGCTTTCAAGCAATTACTGTAAAAGAGCGAAGGCTCGGAACGATAATGGTATCTAAAAGATGAATGAGATACCACCAGGGAAGCACCACAGGGGAGATSTGGCTCCAGCTGCATTAGTCTGAGATCACTAAGGCGAGCCTTTCACCCTGGAGAAAGCACGAGGCCAAAGAAGCTGCTTCCAGACTCCCTGCTCCTCCATTTCCCATTGCCTTTGCCATCACAGAGCTCATCAGCTGCCGCTCGTCTCTGTCCCTTCTTTCAGCGCCCGCTGTTTAGATCACACCTTTAAAAAGCAGAYCGCAAAATGCCAGAGAAAGACGGAGACTTTCAGCCCTGCGAGCCCCGGGTACCATCCTGGTCCCAGTGAAACCCATGGCAGTTTTGCCAGGCAGGTACCAGATTTTCRGGCTGTTTTTCCTTTACCAGATGCCGTGAGCAACGTGGCTCCCCACGGCATGGAAGTCACAGCTGGAAGTTTGTGCATCGCCAGGCACCACAGCCAGGCCCAGGACACTGGGAAACAGCCCCAAAATGAGCACAACTCCTTTGTCATAAGGCCAGCTGGGCCTTACCAAGTTGTAATAAAAGCCACTGAGCAGCTGGTGACACAGAAGCATGAGGTAGCGTGACAGGGAACACTGGAATATTTTGGAAAAGTTATGTAGCCAGCCCTGCTCCAAAATCCCCTCCTTCCATGCAAGAGCAACGAGCACAGGAGCAAACTGCTTGTAACATGCTGTTAGAAGGATCTGTTCACACGGACAAAAGTTTCCTCTGTCATAACATTTTTATGGAAAATCCCTAAGCTATAACCATGTTGCCACCCGCTTTGGGGAAAAATCTCCATTTATGAAGAAGGCAGCAGGGTTTCACACGGCACAATGCTGGGAAGGAAAAGGAGGCAGGCTTTTTTTTTTTTTCCTTTGAACGTCCACTTTATTTGCAATGCGTTTGACTATGTAAGCTGATAAAGAGAAGCCTAATGGGGATRTAATAGCCTTCAAATATGTAAGAGGCTGTTGAAAACAGGAAATGAACAATCTGTTTTATAYGTCCATGAGAGGCAGGAGAGAAATTACAAGGCTGCAACAAGCAGTTTTAAGAGGAAAGGCTTTCTAACAGTGGCAACAGAAATGATATGGTAGATACTGCTAGGAGGTAGTGAAAAAAAAMCTCAAAAAAGTTTGTTTTGAGCGCTCCGCCTCCCTCCTCGGCGCGGCCGCAGCTGCCAACGCCGCGGCACCGGAGGCCTGCGCTTATTCCGAGCGGTAACAAGCGGGGCTGG